CCCTCCCCTCCCCACAGTTTCTGCAGTCTAGTCCACTTTGCTGTCTTGGCCACTGGAAAACTATACACAGGAGAAATGAAGTCCTGCCTGCTGCGATTTAAGCTCACAGCCTGCCCATCCTGGGTTTGCAGAGGAGGTTATTCCTTTCTCTTCACAAACCTTTTCTACGTTTTTGAAGGCCAAAAAGCAACATCATAAGCTCAATCAACCCAAGGTCTCACTCTTTGCAGAGCAAAAAACCAATGGAGACAAGAAAACGCAAGCGATAGCAATGACAGATTTCAGCATGGGCCTTCCCCAGAGCTTAGAGGCATAGCGCAGCAGGTCTATTCATGATGCCCTCCGAGATCTGAAATGAAGACCTGAGCCAAAAGGAAGATTTTCTAGCGACAAAGAGGCAGTGTCTCAGTACACTGTGCTAGTAGCTCCTCTCTAGGAGGGCAGATGGGCAGCAGGGTTAGATCTAGAGCAGAACCATACTAATCTCAATTCAAGACAGCTCCTACAGGGAGTGCAGCCAGACTGTGGGGAGAGTGAATAGCTCCCCAATATCCATGGCATCTGCAAACAAATACAGCAGAGGCTAGAAAATATAAGGAGATGTCATTTAAGACAAAAAGATGGGGCCTGAGTATATAGCAGCATCTGTCCATCTGCACAGGCTCCTCATGCTTCCAAGTGGGCAGGGCCAGCAGGCAGGACTTAGTGGATGTTCCCAGTAGATGGCAGGGTGAGACAACTCCTCCGGCACATAGGCCTCAGCTAGGCTGGACACTGTGCCTGGCAGGCAGGACACAGGCCAGAGACGTCCAGGAAGGGCTGTCCAGCAGTACTGCAGCCAGCCGTAGAGCAAACTCTTGTACATGTACTTGAAAGCATTAGGGAAATCCAATATAGGCACAAACAGTCCGTGTGTGTGCATATACACGTGTGTGTACATGTGTTTATGTACAGGTGTACACACATACAGATTTTCTGCAGAGGTAAAATGAATATTCTGAGGTCAGTGAGTTTTACTTTATGCCTCCTCCGGTTACACAGCCTCGAACCACTGGCTATACGTCCGGTCTACAGTCACACCCCTAGAGAACCGGGGCATCAAAGGACTGGAGGTGCTTTTGGCTATTTTTTCAAACACTAAATTGTTAGAAAAGTGGGGAGGAAGGGAAAGGATGGCAGCTGGGACACCTTCTGCAGAGCAAAACACGTACGGGGCAATTTGACAACATCCAGGTAAAGCCCACTGAGCTGGGCAAGCTCTGACCCAAAACCTTTGAGTCCACCAGTGGGGTTTCCAGGACTGCATGGAGGCTGCTACCGCAACACAGCCTTGCTTGGAAACTGGCTCTTTAGGTAAGAGGTGACAACTTAGATCTTGCTTCAGCAGCAGCAATACCTTATTGCTCCAATACAGGCGGGAGAGACCGTTACTCCCCACACGGACCGGGCAGGCGGGAGAGACCGTTACTCCCCACACGGACCGGGCAGG